CTGTAACTAAGGACCCCGCTCGCGAATCAAGACTATATTTACCAATAAAGCACTCAGCTGCAACTACCTGATGCAAAGAGAGGCTTTCTTCAACTCTCACAAATAACTGCTTTAGAACTAGACATTGAAAAATAGAAGAATATCTTGTTATCTGAAACTTATTTAAATCTAAAGATTAAATCGGAAATAAAATGACCGCTATGAATAATATCAGTAAATGATGTCTAACTGTTAGGGTTGTTTTCCTCTGTGAATGATTCGTTTCCTCCTACAGAGAGCTAGTTTCATAAACAAAGTTAAGTAGTCACGTATTTCCCAGTCTTGAGACATTTATCTTACGAAAACAAAGCTTGTTTTGTCTCCTTCTGGCTTGAGCCAAATAAAAAAATCATTCATAAGGTTATCACTATCGGGTTACCTCCAATCAGAACATGTTTCACTCTGGATTAACAGTAGCAAAGTCGATCAATCAGTGCGTTTATATTCGCAAAAAATAGATAAAATTTACTTTTTCAGCTAATTGTATCTAATATAACTTAACTTGAGCTTGGCCAATATAACAATAATCAACATTTTAATGATTTTTTTTACAAGGAACATGATCACAAAACATAAGGTTGGGTCATTCCACCCTTTTGTAAAAAAGCTCCTATCGCATAAGAAAAGCCAGTTGTAAGTGACTATATCCTTGTTAAAGCTGTTTTGTCCCTAACGGGAAGATATATGGAACAAAAAGGTTTTTCCAAAGACATATTAATAAGGTCGAGTGTATTTGTCACAATTTTAACCTTGTTATCTAACGAGTTTCCTTTATCATGATTTCCTTTGTACGGAAATTTGTTTCATTAATTTAATGACCTGATACCAGTCGACTAAGAGCATTATACAATTTTTTTTCTTCAAGTTTGTTTCAGTTTTAGCCCAGCATTTCAACAAAGGATTGTTCCGTTACACACTGAAAGTACAAGGAGAGACAAGAAAGAAGAAAATTTGTTCACAAATCATAGGGTTGAACAGCGGGCAGTCGAACAAATAAGCTTCAGGTCACTTGTCATCATTTCGCATTGTTATGACTCATTACGACTTTTACTATTATTAGTCGAAGTTATTTCAAAGGTAACTGAAAGGTGTGATCTCTACTTCCAACAGTTAAATGGATCACGCTCCGGATATCCTTTTTCATCTATATTCCGGTGTAACGTTTATTTTAGCTGGCACGAGATTTTTATCTCCTGGCCTGTTTTTGGAGATCGCTAATTGCTCCGCCGTGCACACACTAATTGCTTTATGCATGCGAAAAATACCATTCATATAATTGAGAGAGCCCTCCAGCAAGTTGGGTGCAGACGGATTACTGTTTTCTCTTTCAATATGTGGTATTATCGGAAGTTTCTCGCTCACTCCTTGAAAAAGAACTCAATTTTGCAAAGTACCCTTGTTCAAAACGTTATGCCCATACTCCCTTGATCCACCACAATCATGTAAGATGTAAGATTTTACTTCACGAGTTCAAACTAACTGAAAGGAAGATATCGTAAATGTGACCACAGATATGGGTATGACAAAAAACATTCGGATTAAGCGCTTTTCCGAGATCGAAATCAAGGTTCTCTCTTTTCCCAAACTAAATCAAAAGTTCAGCCTCTTGCTACCCTAAAAGTTGTTTCAAGATTCTAATGTAGCCCCCCTAAGAGGCTTTCGTGTATTGCTGCTTTGAAGACTTAGAACACTTTCTACGATTTCTACATGAAACAGATCTGCTGTTACGTAATCAAGGTGACTCAGATAGTTGCAATGTTCGCATGGAAACAGATGAAAGTAAATGACCCTTAAAATGGATGATACTTTTGATTAGACCATATCCTTGATGAAAACTAAGTAAGTGATCAAAAATACCCAAACCAATGGAAGTTGAGGTACACGTGCGGATACTTCGATTTCAATCCCTCGAGACTCTGGTAAAAACCTTAATAAGAAGCTAAACTTCAATGTGATACTTAAATCCATCCATCGTCTCCTTATTGATTATGTAAGAGCATTAGTCTGACTCACCCTTTCTTTCACACTCTTAGAAATTCTCATGTTCTATGCCACATTATATAAGAATTATTTATGTGTTGCATTCTACCTTGTTTAATCGGTTGGATCTTAAGGAAGCACTCAAAGCTTTACAATAAAAGATCAAATTGTCATGAATACTCAGTTCGTTTGTGTTGTTATGCCGGCTTACGCCCTGTTAAACCGATTTCGCCTAGAGTCTAGGAGCTAAACACTTTAATCGACTTTGTCGAGCGTGCCAGTATGACGAACACCTTCAATTTACAGATCACGAAAAAATGGGGTGAGGTGGAAAAAAAAAAGGCGCACAAGTACGGGCCGGTCTCCAGTGTTATTGAAACCGATCCAGTGTACATCATGCAAGTGTTTACTAAAGAGCGCGCGAGCCAATATGGTAAATGTGCCGGAATTCCTTGAACTGAAAATCCTGAGTCAGAAAGCACACGCGCTGTCTATACTTCACAATACCACTTGAAATGGACCGTTCCGTGCGAATGGATTCTGAACTGCTATTGAAGAACGTCATGCATGGTTCCTGACAGATCTTTCTTTATCATTAGAGTAGCTAACCACTCGTTGTTTAAGGAGGAAAAGGACTCTGGCATTTGCCTATATATGAAGTGTGTTGTGCATTCAACGTGCTTCATACAGGAGATACGCCAAGGCGTCCTAATAAGGTCTACTTTCTTAATGCGTAGAAAGCCTTTCTAATCCTTTACATGCCTCCTTTATTATAACCAAGTTGTTGTTTTCCTTTAGAAGCAAACAATGATTTGGAAATAATCTCAGAATTAAATTTTTCTATCGCTAAAACGAAGAGCCATCATGTGTTTCCATTGGCAGATTAATTGCGTATTTGGGTTTCGATACGAACCATTTCGTTTCTGCGACCATCTTATGCTTCTGCTACCGAATTCTCGGGTAGATTTGGGCAAGAACCGATGACAACTGAGTGTTCAGCCTATTTGAGACATGGCCTTTACGTCTGTGGCTCAAGAGACCGGAAGTGGGGGAGGGGAAGGGAAGGGACAGAGTGTACTCAGGAGAGGTGTGGGGCATACATTTGTACTCCCTATCCCTTCTCAGACAAAATGAGGAACTGACTCACCCTATTCAGGACCTGATTGACTTCATAAAAGCTTCTTCTCGCCAGAAACACCTCCAAGTCCAGTACAGGATTCCGGGAAGTGAACGAAACCTTACCCCAATACTCGGGGCCAAATGGTTCAATCCATGATATTCAATTTTAGACAAAGAGGACTCAGCAAAAGAGTCAGAGACGTTGCTTGTACCCCTTTATAAGGGAGTAATCTATCTCACCCTGCTCAAATGAAATCGTTGTAGTTTTCTGAGCGACACAAGGTCTTGTATGCGATACTTGGAAAACGGAAATGCGCTTTAGCGGCAAGACGCAGGAGACTTTTCGGAAGCGCAGAGGACGGCCGGGAGAAGTAAACAAATTCTTGGAGCAAAATTATTTGACTCTCGTGTGTCTCTAGTTTCTATCACCTTGAAGGCCCCAACAGATGTTGATGAAGTAGATAACATCTATAGAACAAAGAAAAACCCCTCAAACAAATCAAGCACAGAAATTGTCTACTGCTTAAATAAACTGGAATAAATATATCGGACTTCGGATCTCATGAAGAAAAACCTTCACTTCGTATTGATATCGCATGAACCACAATTGAGGGCCGCTGAGACATTTTTAATTTCTAGGTATCAGTTGGAAGGAATTCATTGACCAGGAAATTTAATTGAATCGTGGACTTAGAAGTATTAATCTTTTATCTTGATAACAAACAGTATTTATCAACAGCCTTGCGAAACCCTTTTTGTTAACAAAAGCTAGTACAGCACAGCTGTCACTGAGCAACACAGCAGTTACAAACAAAAAGCCATTATCATCTCAATAGATGTTTCAAAGAAGATAACTTCAAAATAAAGCTCACATCATATTCCAGTCGATTGGCCCGCCTCAGTTGTCAGTTTGTTTGCTCCTTATTGAGTACTTTTCTTGTAACCGGAACTGGTCGCCAATCAAGGTAACGCATTAAGGGTAAATATTAGTCCAAAGCTACGAAACGGATTTGGATGTCAGTTGTTCTTCTAGGCGCCATTAAGTCTGTTTGCGAGAAACTCCCAAGAACCGCTTTGTAAGTTTGTGAGTCAAATCAGGAAATATGTCTTTTGGAGTAGAATTTCTCGAACAAATCACCGGAATTGCTCGTCACTGGTACTCTAGCGCGGCGCCACAACATACGGAGTTAATTCAGGTGTATATATTTTTTTGTCAACACCCTTCAGCTAGATCATGAAGTCATGTCATAGAATATACTTTTTAAACCACAGACTTAAAAAACATAAAAAAAAAACTTGCACTTCTCCGTTTCTTTCCGCTCCTAATCTTACATTTGGGCAGACTGGCGACACTGTTACAAAAAAAATCAGATAGCACGTCCTTAGAGTAAAAAATCTTAAAGCATTTGAGCCCCAAGTTCAACCCAGATTAACTTTCTGTCAATAACAGAGGTGAATTTTGGGCTCTTGAAGTTTGAACGAGGTCGTCTCGGCAGACAGAGTAACAAAGAATACCGATAAAAAGCTGCTTTTACTGTATCTTATCGGTTATGGCGGCTGATCTTTTGATATTTTAGCGCGGTGTAACGGTTTCATATCCGATTAGGCAGTCCAAATGAATTTTATTTTGACGATGAAAATTTTAACAAAGCGAAAAATTTTGGTTCACAGTAATGAACCAAAACACGCATCCGATAGGACCCAAAAATCTTGAACGCGCGACTAGCCAGTGTACATTAGGAAAGATTACAATGTCGGCATGGTTTTGGACGACGACGTTTGTCATTGCTTAGAAAAACTCATTGCTGAATTATTTTTGTTTTAAAAAATTTCACAGTTTATTTTTTCTAATTGCTCTCTAGTTTAGGGAATAGGAGCACGCGCACAGTCTTTAAAGAACCAGCGGAGAAGTCAACTAAAACCTTTGGAAGGAGACGGCTCGCACTTTGAGGCAGAACTTGTTAAATTCAAACTATAAGAAAGAAAGTAAAAATCAATCACCGTACGGGTATTTCGACGAATTTTGGCGTTACATTTTGAGGCGGAAAGTTGTAAGATTGAAGGACCTAAACTATAATCAGATTTTTGCCTTCTTAATTATCTTTTTTCTTTCATAATACAGTAGTTTTTCGTTGTACGCATGTGAAACGGGAATGTCATTCAGCATAAGTTGCTCGCACCAAAGATATATGGATAAAAAGCTGTGTTGATGAAAAAAGCCTCACAAATGAAATGTTCCCTCTCCTCCCCTTAACAATGCAGTGCATCTTCCAGTAATCCGCGTGAAAGGTCATGATTTTTTTTAAAGAAGTAAAAACTTAAGGCAAAATTACATTGTATTACCGAATGTGTCATCCTGCGATTACAGACTGATTTTCTTCCTAAGTAGTCTCACGAGGTTTAAATTCTCGCGACAACAAGGCCGCTCTATATTTCACTAGCCCCATTGGCGAGTATGAAAGTGAAAGAGGTTACGTGTGATGCATTTGATCGTGGCACGCACTGGACAGTGGCTGAGGAAATCAAAGTTCAATTTCGCATTAACGTATCACCAAAACTACGCTTTTTCTCTGTGGAAATTTCATGGAATTAGTATCAAGCTTTAACTATTTTTTAAAATAAAAGAAGAGACTGATAAATACATATTATTTCGTTAACATATGTGACTTGCTAGCATGTACTTGACTGGGTAAGGCTGCTCTGGTTGGGAAATGTCATCATGGCCCACAAAATAGACGTCTGGCCAGTTTTGATAGCCTTTGCGTGAGGAAATAAAACAAGAAATAATTTTTATTTTTCAACGAATGAACCGGTAAAAGCCTCGTGCCACAGCAATATGCTTCGCTAATCATTTTCCTGACGGCCTTGGCCCCTCCTGTGTTGCCAAAATCCACGGAGTGTTAATCTCAAAGTCAATATTATGGTCACGTCCAAGCTAAGGATGAACTAAGTTTTGTTTTAGGGCTGCACATGTTTACTCAAGTCCTTCTGATTCACGAAATATCCATCGAGAGGTGCAATAGAAACGTGGAAGTACTCCGAAAAGTTTGAATAAAGTCCGTAACACCTAGCATGGCGCACCCAAAGATGTATTTACATCATATTCTAATTACATGACAGTCTGTTACAGGATAAAATGCATTGAGAGTTGATTCAAACAGACAGTTTGGCGTTGTCGGAAGGAAATAACTTTATCCCTTCGGTTCCGCACTCTGGGACATACTTTTCTGATTACTCTTTGCACGACACTTACGGCGTTTTGGCGGAATTTCTGGCAAGGAATTTGTGGGCTGGAGCCAAAACGTCATATTTCCTGATAGCTCCCGGATATCTTGACCCTCAGGTTACTTTAGCGTAACCCGATATTTCGGTAAAATACCCATGAAATATACGGGCACAAATCCTTTCAAGACGTAGTCATCTTGGCACCAGGATCTATTGCACTGTCAAATTTACGGCTCTCTGATTGGCTCCCTCGACGTATTACATAAACATGTCTCCTCTCAACCACGTGATAAAAAAGCTTATTTTCAACTCGCTTGTCACATCTATCACACGTGTTCTTGCATATCAGAGACATCATAGCAGCAGGGAGCTTGGCAGGCGAATTTTTTTGAAGTCAGAAGAAAATTCTTCCGCGCTAACCTCGCCACGACCGTATAACAGCACAGAACGCGAAGAAATGCATGGCGACGACAGAATGCTGCTCTCCGATCGAAGAACGGTACGAAATAAGAGAATCCCGGCACCTCTACCACAAATTTTAAACCCCTTGGGGTTTGACAATCCGATCGGTGTATGTCACCCTCAACTGCCGCGGCATAGCCAGAATTATGCAAAATTGCTGGGGTCGATGGACCAAGGAGCTGTCGCGAAGAAAGACCCAGCTATGGAGAACGACTCCGACAGAATCAAGCGTCCTATGAACGCTTTCATGGTTTGGGCACAAGTGGAGAGAAGACGACTGGCGGATGCAAACCCAGAGCTGCACAATGCCGAGCTCAGTAAAATTCTGGGACAAGCTTGGAGATCGCTGAACGGGTCGCAGAAACGACCTTATGTAGAAGAGGCCGAGCGTTTGCGGCAACAGCATATTAAGGATCACCCTGACTACAAATATCGGCCCAGGCGAAGAAAACACCCCAAAAGAGTTTGTAAGAAAATGACTTCTTCTACACCCCCGAACTGCGCAGTAATACGCAATCCGAAAGAAACAACAGCCCATGTCTCGCACTCTACTTCAGGTGCCGAGTGCGGACAACTCGCGGTCAACCCTGCAGAGGAAAATTTAATGAACTTTGGTCAGTCATCTGCACCAATTCCGTTTGCAAACGGAGATTTAAGGCTGACACATCTCGGCGGCCATTCCACCTTGCCAAATTTGTCCGAGATAAGCCTTCCCACACCAGAGACGAGTCCCGGATCTGACGAATTTGGTAGTGAGTTTAACTTCCCAACTTGCTGGCAAGACCTTCAAAGTGCGCCCACTAGTGTGCAGATAAAATCACATTCCACCTCCCCACCGCCATATGTCGGTGTATCTACTTCAAATTCAGCGCCTGTGAGCCCGATCTATCTCACAAACGGAGGCCTACAGGTACCGAATTCTGTGCCGATGATGCCTGGTAGCGCGAACACTCAACTTCAACCCAATGACACCAGTGCAAATCAGATCTTCTACTTCGCTCAACATATCAGGGAGCTGTTACCCGAAGGAGACTTCAACAGGGAGGAATTCGATCAGTACCTAGACGGCACAGAAACAGCAAATATTATGTGTGATGTGGCCTGGTGAGGTAACACTATCGAGGAAGCTATGCAGACTTTTGACTGTAAAAATTCCATTACGCAAGGACTTGGTGCCGAGATTTTTTGCCAATATCGATAGGGTGACAGTTTTTCAGCCGTCACGTTCGATGCCAACGAACACTTTATTTCATAATTTCGGTATTGTTTTGTCTTACTTTCAAGCGCAATGCGTAGACAAGGAATTATTTTTCAATGTACAGTTTACATAAGGGGTCAAATACAAGTGATGTACACAGTTGAAGGCTAAAAAGCCCGCAAGGGGCCGATCGAGGTACAAAGTACGTCTCCTAGTTTCTTCAATTTATACGCGATGCATGCAATCTACCGTAGTTTATATTTGGATGTACAATTTCGGGTTGCTTTTAAAATAAAGATTTGCTAATGAGCTTTATTAGTGTCTTGATTCGTGCGCGCGGTGCCATGTTACCGCCATTAGTGCGGTCGTGGTTATCCTTGTTTAGGCCGGCTTGAAAAAATTCACCGTCTCAGCCTTTCTAAGTTTTCTTGATTTGACAGCTCATAAAATCAGCTTACACACAGATTGTTATCTCTGGTGAAAACGATTGGCCCACGCCAGTCAAAGTACACACAGAGATGTGTCAACACTTGTCATAATCTTGCACAGAGATAGATTTTTTTCCACCGTAATTTTTGCGTTTTTTTTAATTTGACCTAACCAAATAGCTTTGGACATATGCGTCGCGTTCGCTTCATTTTGATAAGTATGTTTCAACTTTCGATTAAATCGATCATTTCCCTTTTTTGATGCGATAGTATTGGAGCTTAAGTTACTTCGTGATTGCGTCGTCCGAATAACAGTTGTTCGAGTTCGTTAAAAAGTCGTATCAGACCTGTCTGACGTCACGATTTCGCTTAAGTCCATGAAAGGTTCTTTATGCCCAAAGACAGGTCTTTGAGTCCGGAAAAGGTTTTTCATGGCGAAAAGTTGTTTTCAGACATTTTATGGCACCCTTGACTCCTAGTGCTAATCTCTTTCTACACCGGAAACTAGGCTTGTTCGAACATCACTTGGAACAAAAGAACTGTGATTTGTGCTAATTATTCATTAGCACGCCTTGTGTTATGCATCAAGCTTCCTTCGCTTTCCCCAATATTGACCCACATCTGCTTGAACGATTGTTCTGGAATAAAGATATATTCTAAATAACTGTCCACGTGCACATCGTTTCGAAAAGGAGCTCTCAGCAAGATGCTAGAAATGTCCACGCGCTTTAAGTTAATTTCAATAATGAAGGCAAAGATTTATCTGCGTAATGTTATCTGTGAAAACTATCTGTTGCTAATTATAGACTTTGAAGACCCTTCTGTTATCTTTTTCGCTTGATGTTTCATAACAATCTCTTCATTAACTTGAAACGATAGATGCGCACAGCGGTGAAATTGTAGCGCATCGACGTTGATTATAAGATAAATCTTTAGATTGGTTTATGGGCTTAACAAGAAGTTTGACATCAGCAATCCCTTGAAAAACGGATAAGCGATCGAATCCTGCTAGAGTGTGTCATGCCTAAACAAAATTCTTTTCACTTAAATTTACGACAAAGCAAAAATTTAGCAGTAAACGTTCTAATCTGGACACAAAATGATTTTTTTAACAACACTGTAAACGTACATTCGTAAGTTCAGTTTGGCTGAAGCTGCTTATCCCTTCAGTATAAACAGTAGTAAATTTTGACAGCTCTTCGTTGTCAGTTACTAATTTTAGCACGCACGAGTTCATCCTTGACACGATCGCCATCTTGAACTTGAAGAGATGTAGAACGGTAAAGGAAGTTTGTCTAGAATCATCCGGAACGCAAGAAAATAAAGAAAACGTTTCTTCTTTCATGTGCTCGCAGACTGAGATGATGTAACCAAGTTTACCTAACTGGGCATTAATGGTTTTAAAAAAACGTAAATAAAGTTAATTATAACTTGAAAAAAAAAAAATAATAAGGAGGCTGTGCATTACATCATTCGAGGATAACTTAATATCTTAAATTAAATTCTATTCGAGATAGAGAAACAATTTACTTCAAGAAATTTTAGTGTAACATGTTCAGTCGAAGCGCATGGCCCGCCTGGGGAAAGCAACACGCGACCAGGCGCTGGGCCGAGATTTTGATTTTATAAGCACGAGATGTACACCCGGCCGGCAAAACCTGCCTGATTAATTAGCGGGCCTCTGATCATAGTCTTATGCCGGTCCCTGAAGATTGAGGATCCGTTGTTAATGGGCAAAAATTAAGAGTCAAGTAACGTCAAAATAAAGTAAAAAAGCAGGTGTCAAAAATACGCACTGGCGAGCTAGGAGATCAGTCTTATCAAGCCATAATTGAGTAAGTGATCATATCTGAGAGCGATATGTGTGAACACGTTGCTACTCTTTTTCCCACACGGTGGGGACACTAATTACTCAGTATTTCTTTCAAGTTTAACCCTTCCCTGTCGTCTGACGCTTCAGACCCTTTTAGCACCAAAGAGATTTTCACTGCGGTTGTAACTAGATTAAATTTTAAACTGAGAGCTCGCTCAAACCGACAGTAATTTAAGGCTACTCAACCACTGTGCAGGGTATTAATGACGAACACTGATTTGAGCTGACTTTTACGTTAGAGTTATTATTGTGTGTGTTATTATTATCATTACTTTTTTTCGCGTTTTCGTGCCATTTTCGTTAGACAAGGAAAGAGACGCCCATTTGCAGAAACCACAATGAGGTGATCAGAACGTGTTAAAGGCAGATTTGGACCAACGTTGTCGTAACTTTTCGTGTAACGTACTGATTGCAATCTAGTTCTGTGACAAAATAACATTTTTATTACACGTATTGTCTTAAGCGGATTTCCAGGATTTACTTCATAGTTGCTAACAATTTTGTACACAACATATTTTGGAGATGAAATGCAAGTGTCTCGAGAAAGGAATCTCTGATTTCAATTTTCACTTCTGACAAACATTTAATCCGCGATTTTAAGGTAGAACTTCCTGAAAACAGGTAGAGATACTGAAATATGCCTTTTTTGCATTCCGTTCTGTCAAAATGCTCAGTATGCACTGTCAAGGTCGCAGCGAGATCGCATGGCCGGAGCCAGATAGCCTGCCAAACCATAACATCTACGTGTGCCAACACTGAGAAATTAAGAAGGCAGTAAACGTCGTGTAAAACCCTTACTTTGCAGTACTTAATAAACGGGAAATCTTACCCACTCGGGCAGATTTAAAATTTGATATTGATGCCATTTGAGTGGCTAAGTGTTTTTAAGGAACATTCATGAAATAGGAGTGAGGATATTAAGTAACAAATCTTGGCCTTGATGGACTTTTATTTAATCTTCTTTCATATGGAAAAACTGACTAACAGTATTTTAGACTTTTATCTTTTTATCATAAATCATATTCGACTACTGATGCATTAAAATAAATGAATTGACATCGTTTAAGGTCTTTAAAATGACGTTTCAATTACACTTTGAATTTTTCTAAGCAAAATTCACGTTAACGTTCAGAAGGGGGTATGACTAGTTTAACACAGAACTAAAATAAACTTTCGCCTTGTAAGAAAATATCGTTATGTTCATTTGACCATCTTTTTCATAACAGGAGTACGAGGTAGCTAAAATGAGCGAAATCATTTCTTGACTATGCTCTTAAGGACATGGACAAGGCAATTTGTTCCCTTTTGATCCCTTTTGGCATTAAGCTCCTAGCTTCGTTGGTCATGAAACAAACTGTAAAAAGCAATGAATAAAACTGACAAGAGGCACGTACATTCTATTGGAAATGGGAATTTCCCCCACTTAATACCCGAACTGATACAAAAAAAATTTAAATCTATAGTCTGACGTATTTTAGCAAGGTTTACATTATCAAGTTTTAGTTTCTCCAGGAAGGTAACTCAGACATCCAGGCGAGAAATTCCGGATATCCTGAAGATTTCTTTGGGTTGGCTGTGTTGACCCTTTTAGCAGCCTTGTGGTTTTGTGGTTTTCCCTCCCAAAAAGCCAAGCTCTGAAGTGTTTGTCGTGAATGTGACAAAGAGATAATGCTAAGAGTAAATCCTCGGGCGTGAAGTCATACAAGTCAGGCCATTTCACTCCCTGTTTTTCATACAGCTATTACGATGAACAAATTCTGGGCATTCATTTTGAAAAAAATGATAACAAAATAAAAATCCAGCGATAACAGATGTGATTTAATAACATACGCAAACTAAGCCACACTAGATATTAAACATTAAATACAGTTAAAGGTCTAGTTTTCTTTTTTTAACAACTAGGGTTGCCGTGATAGCCTGCACTGGGAAACAGATTTACGACAATACTCTACGTCAAACACGAATGCAAATTATACAACCAATCGCGGCATGAATAATTGATGCATGCATGTATCAAACAGCAAAATGCTTTGAGCAAATTACCGTCGAAGAAAAGAAATTTTCTTATGTAAGTAGCTCTAGAGGACAACAACAAATCTACGTGAACACACCCTGTATCATTCTGTAAATTCCATATAATAAATTGAGAACAAGCTTTTAGGGTCGTCTGTTTGTCTCAGTCGTTACACAAATGCAATCTACGAGGAGAGTCCCTCTCTCTATCAGTAACAACACTAGTAGTTCAGGGTGATTGGTTTTGCTTGTTGAATTGGAGAACGTAGGTTTTCGCCGTCCACTTCTCGATTTAGATGACGAACTTATTTTCAGCTGTTTTCTATCATTCGTGAGATATCCGATCATTGCATCATATCTCGTCAATGCAGTAATTACTTGCGGTTTTTTTATTTGCTGCTTTATTTGAAATTCTTTTGTCAAATAGTTGCCCTTTTATGTAGATAATACTCTTATTAAGTAACATATTTGAAAGACAAATAATTACAATTGCAAAATATTGGCAAAAGAAAAACTGTCACGATTTGCATTATGATGAACCTGCACAGAAGGAATGAGCAGGTACGATTGTCTAAACGTGCATTATGAATGAATGATGATATGTTTTCAGTTTACTTTCCATCTCTCCAGACTGATAATTGAAGTAATATAGTAAACTAACAAAACAACATGCATCAAATTCCTGAGCTGCTCCTACGAAAAGTTTTTCGTTCGAATTTCATGCCATGTCTTTACCTTGAGAGGCAGTGGTGTACCCATTCAACAAACTGCTACTTTGGCATTTTTTTCATTAAATCTACTCCATCCGATCGAAAGATATCGAAATTCAACCCCTGGGAAGAATATTCAAACGTGCATGACCTCAGTCTTAAATGGAGACCATTGCAAATGTTTTTTATTCTATAACACTAAAGACCGACGAGGCACTGAAAGCACTGCACATTCTTGAAAAGTTATCCTTGCTCAGCGCGAGAAAATCATATTTCAAAATCCTAGCTTTC